GCTAGATGGCTCTAAAGAAAAATATTTCCAAGGCAGGGGAAATCAACTAAAATTTTATAGTCAGTTAGAAAAAAAATGAATGAAGCAGCTCATGTCTAGAGGGGGGACTGGGACGTGGGGAGCATGTACCCCATTGAAATTTGGTGAACTACTTGGCTCTTATTGATGGTTTCCTTTTTGTTGCTGCTGCTATTGGAAAGGAGGAAGTAAATAAACCTTTATTACATGGTGATATACTGTGTATAATTTAAAATAATTTAGAGAACATATAAAAGTGGGTATTTATGTCAAGTTCACAGATTAAAAAATATTTTAAGGAGTTCTCTCTTCCCTTCAGAGAAAGGTACCTACTTCTTTGATGGCCCGTTCTTTCTACTTCAACATCGTTGCTAATATTCTCATAATCATCCTAATATTCTCACACACTCCTTCATACTGGTGCTGATTATAAAGCATGCTTTCATAGTCTCCAAAACATTTGTTTGAGAAAATAGAGGTACCAAATATGAACCATTGTCTTTTCCACTAAGGCAATGTCTCTTATTAACCTAAATCAGAGAAGCTGGAAAGCAGAATTTTGGGAACAGAACAAGAGAGTTCTCATTTAGTTAAGTAACAAACCATAACTCTGCATAGTGTTTTTCTTTTCTTCTTCTTATTTTTTTTTTTTTTTTGATAGGCAGAGTGGACAGTGAGAGAGAGAGACAGAGAGAAATGTCTTCCTTTCCGTTGGTTCACCCTCCAATGGCCGCCATGGCCAGCGCGCTGCAGCCGGCGCGCCACGCTGATCCAATGGCAGGAGCCAGGTACTTATCCTGGTCTCCCATGGGGCACAGGGCCCAAGGACTTGGGCCATCCTCCACTGCACTCCCTGGCCACAGCAGAGAGCTGGCCTGGAAGAGGGGCAACCGGGACAGAATCCGGCGCCCTGACCGGGACTAGAACCCGGTGTGCCGGCGCCGCTAGGCGGAGGATTAGCCTAGTGAGCCGCAGCGCCGGCCTGCCTTTTCTATATTGCTATTTCCCCATTAATGTTGACTGAACAATGGATTGACATTACCAATTAAAGGAAAGAGCAATTATAGGCTCACTTAAGAACACTTGAGGTAATTTTATGCACTTACAATTATATGGAGAGATATTGAATGTATAGAAATGTCTTGTTTGATATAAAAATTATGTAGCACCTGCTTTACTAAGCAAGTATCATGCAGTTCCTCAAAAACAGAAATTCTTTAATGCTTTTTCAGTTTCTGAGAAGGAGGTCATGCATGGTTACCCAGTGCAGTCCTACACAAAATAACATTGTATAAGCTTACAAGCTAATTTCATTAACATTCTACCTTCCTAAACAATTCTAAATGTGAAAAGTCTAGGCAGAAGTCCACAGAATGAAAATAAAAAGGCAGATGAAAAATAAAAAGGCAGATGAAATTTCATAGAAATTGGAACACATAATGTTATAAACACTAATAATTCATTATTTTACCTCCCTAGACAATATGTATTAGAAAACCTTTTTAAACATTTCATTTCAGAATAGTTTTAAACTTACAAAACAATTGTTAAGTAGTAACACAGAGTTCACATATACCTTGACACACTTCCCTGTCATTAACATCTCATATTAGCATATTTGTCACAATTAATGAACCACACAGATTCCCCTATATATCTTTTTGTCTAAACACCTTCTGTCTCTCTCATATCTCTCTCAATCTCTAGTAATCAACAACATTCTGTGTTAAGATTTAGTGTGTATGTGTGTGTGTGTTAGCTCCCACATAGGAGGGAGTGCATGTAGCATTTGTCTTTCTGTGTCTGGCTTGAATGTAACCCTATATTTCTTAATTTTCCAGGAGAAAGCAGAAATCTCACTTTTATTGCAATTACTTGATTTTTTTAAACATCAGAAGACCAACCACAGATAATATCTGGGAATTAGATACAGCCGGTGAAATGCCAAGTTTGTGACCCCTCTAATTAAAATTAATTTGACTCTTCTCAGCCCATCTAGGAAAGGAGGCATACACACCAAAAGCCACATCACACCAACCCACATTTTACTCTTGGTCTCTCAGAAACTAAGACTTGTGACTTCCATTTAGTAATATATCTTGTATATTCTTAAGAGTGAAAATGAATGATAAGGAAATATGCCCAATAGATCTGGCTAGATAAAATCAAGAGTGGACCGGCAAAAAAAAAAAAAAAAAAAAAAAAAAAAAAAAAAACCTAAATGAAACATCTCTGCGAGTGAGATCCCAGTAGAAAGAACAGGCCATCAGAGAAGGAGGTACCTTTCTCTGAAGGGAGGAGAGAATTTCCACTTTGACTATGACCTTGTCTAAATAAGATCGAAGTCGGCGAACTCAAGAGGCTTCCATAGCCTTGGCAACTCATAACTAGAGCCTAGGGAGATTTCTGACGCCATAAACAAGAGGGTCAAATTGTTAAGTCAACAACAGGAGTCACTGTGTGCTTACTTCTCATGTGGGATCTGTCGTTAATGTGCTGTCCAGTGTGAAGTAATGCTATAACTAGTACTGAAAGAGTATTTTACACTTTATGTTCTGTGTGGGTGCAAACTGATGAAATCTTTATTTAATATATACTAAATCGATCTTCTATATATAAAGATAATTGAAAATGAATCTTGATGTGAATGGAAGGGAGTGGGAGATGGGAGGGGTGAGGATGGGAGGGAAGTTATGGGGGGGAAGCCACTATAATCCATAAACTGTACTTTGGAAATTATATTTACTAAATAAAAGTTTAAAAAAAATCAAGAGTGGAAAAGTGATATCATGAGTAGTTAGCAAGGCTGATTTCTATGGAGTTATCATCCAAAAGCCTGGTAAGTATTTCTAACCAGTCCCTTGCATTGGAGTTCTTACTAAAAAGCTTTACAAGTCTTTCTAACCAGTCATTCTTACCATCCTAGCTCAATCATCTGGATTTCCTTTTCAGGCTGCTCATTTGCCTGAGGGTGACGACTTCCTCTGTCAAAGCAAATTGAGACTTGAACAAGCTTATGGGTCACATTCCTTTGACAGATTACCCACTGTTTCTCTAGGCTTATCTTCCAGCTAAAGATGTGGGCTACCCTCTACCACAGCAATTTTTAAAATGTGTTATATGGAAATCTAGAACCAACATGCTCTATAAAAAATGGGAAATGGGCATTTCTAGTCATATAAGCTTAGGGAATGTAGAAAGATATACTCTACATTTACATATGCATACACATACACCTTCCACACCCCCATTTTGAAAATTTCTCATTGAAACTGACCTATTAACATGTTTAAGGAGTTATAAATACAGAATTTTAATTAATTTTATCTCAGGTTTTTTTTTCCAAATTTATGTATCCATGAGCAGCATTTTTTTGTTATAACCAGGTATATATCTGCAGAAAATGATTTTGATGTTGACTAAAACTAACAATATAATTTTCCCACAAAGGTCAAGCTGTATTTAATGAAAGAAATATATATCTTGTGTTTAAACGCACTTAAACAGCTTAATGTTTCTGAATTTTCTCTATTGAATCGTCTCCAGTTTAAGATACAGTCCTATGTGAGACCTCACAGAACATTATCACCAAACTAACTTACGTTACACTTCATATGTTACAGAGCATTTTCACAAATATTTCTTCACTTCATCCTTGCAGAAAATATCTCATCAAATATCTTCTTGTGCTTTTCTCATTCCAAAAATACAGAAAATGAATGGCTTCCTTGAAGTCACTCAGCAGATAAATGTGAGATTACAATTCTACTGGCTCCTGGTATACTAATGCTTCAAAATGCTGTTCAGTTTCTGTACCCAGCATTGCTCTTCCAAGCTTGACAATGAGCATATGTTTACAAGAATAGTTAATGTTGACAGTGACAATAATTAAAAGTACCAGCTCACAATTAGAAAGGGTGACCCATCGAAAATTGTGATCGGTGTAAATTAGAAAATCAAAGCAATATTATTCACTGTAGAACTCCTTGTGTCATAAGTAATAGGCAAAGCTACTCATTGGTCCAAACATTTGTTCATGAACTTACCAGGTTAGGAACATGAGGAAGATATAGTCCCTATGTTCAAGTGCTATGTTAAAAAAAAAAATAACCAACAGCTTTAAGACAAGGTACCCAATCCCCTTGTAAAGAAACTCACAGGAGAAATGAAGCAGCTCAAGCAAGGAGGCTGAGAACCCATACAAAAATTGCCGAGTTTTAAACCTGGAGATGACTAGCACTCTTGGAAAGACCAGGCACAGTAAACAATTGGTTAGAAAATGTTAATACGAAACTGTTTATACCTGGAAACATTCTTCTCCACTCAAATCTGGTTTATAATTTATTTTCATTTGTTAACAGATCAGATCATGAAGTTTCACTAAATGTCATGAGCTACAATACTGTAATGTGTTAAAAATGCTTTTAGGCCTTCTTTTTTTTTCTTTCTTTCTTTTTTTTTTTTTTTTTGGACAGGCAGATTTAGACAGTGAGTGAGAGAGAGACACAGAGAGAAAGGTCTTCCTTTCCGTTGGTTCACCCCCCAAATGGCCGCTATGGCTGGCACGCTGCGGTCAGTACATTGCGCCGATCCAAAGCCAGGAGTCAGATGCTTCCTCCTGGTCTTCCATGTGGGTGCAGGGCCCAAGCACTTGGGCCATCCTCCACTGCCCCTCCCCCCCCCAGGCCACAGCAGAGAGCTGGCCTGGAAGAGGAGCAACTGGGACAGAATCCGGCGCCCCAACCAGGACTAGAACCCGGTGTGCCGGTGCCACAGGCGGAGGATTAGCCTAGTGAGCCGCGACGCTGGCCAGGCCTTCCTTCTTTTCAATCTTGCACAGAACAGTTAAATGCTGTATTTTTCCACACATACATATGTATGTTTGTCGCTGCTGCCTTTGAACAGGAATTGGAAGATGTTCTCAAAAGTGCTTTCAGGTTGAGCAGTTTTCCCCTGTGATATGGGAACTCCTCATAACTTACCTCAAGGAGCATTTACTCAGGCCACTTCCATGTGGCAACCAGGCCAGGCCAAAGGGAAGTCTCATGGCTTCTCAACTGCAGACATTCTCTATCAGAAGAGTGTGATGACCTGAGATCTAGAAGCTTCAAGTGCACCCCCTAGGAAACCAGGGAAGACTGTGAACTCAGTACTCTCTCCACTTTGAGCCTGACTCACCACTGGCCTTACATGTCCTGACCAAGGGAAATGGTGCTAACAGGGCAACTGACTCTGTTTTCCATATGACGGAGAGTGCTGCACTGTCTCATGGATTCCCATCCACTAAATATCCATAAGCTATTCACGGGCTCCTTGTTATGCTCCATCTATCCCTTTCTGGTCAATTTCTTCTAATCTTGTGTGGTCCTCCTCAAATAAGCTTTCCCAATTCTGCAAGTCCACATACAAATTTTCTCAGGGCATCATGTTTAATTATACAATGCAATAATTATTTTCCAAATAGTTTAAGGTATGACCCTGTCTTGTCAATAAAATTTAAGCTCCCTAAAAATAATGGGGGCAGCCATGGACCAAATGGCTTATGTTCCAATTGCTGTACGAAGTTCTCATAACTACTTTTTATGATTGGAATAGTTCTGTTGTATAGATGCAAAAACTTAAATACAGAGGTTTCTTAAGTCACACAGCAAGAAATTATAGAAGCAAAACCTGATGCTAACACTGTGTATCCTCTATGCCTTGCTTCACCATAGGGTTACATTGGTTTTTATAACAGAAGTTACTGACCATGTTGCATATTTTAAGGCTTTATGTTTCTTATGGATTACAGATATTACTCCACTTCTTCATAGATTAAGGGATAAAAATCCCTTGTCAACCAATCACTTATTGATCCATGAAAGAGAAATAGCAGCACCTGAAGACTCTTTGGAAAATAAAGCCATCTTATCTAACGGTCTGATCATTAAAGGCCAAGATTCTATATGCTATAGGAATTAGAGACTACAAAAAAGGTAAGCTCTTCCTTTCTCTGTTCTACTTCCTCAGTATTAAAGAGTATTGAAATAACGTGTATCATAGTTCAAACACTTTAGACTTAGAATTATCAATAAGAAATCAGGACTGACTCAAATATCTCTATTATTTCTAGAACTTGAAGCCAGGATGACAGTTCCTTCCTTGTTGTTTTAACTTTTTATTGTCTATTACATGCCAAGAACTGAGAAGCAAAGGGGATGTCATTGTGGTCCTTGCCTTTAAAGAGTACATTCTCTAATGAGGGAGATATTTTATCAAATGTTTGCCAATGGGATATGATGACCATATCAGACATATAAGGAAGTACAATGGTGACATGAAGAAATGAGTGATCTGCTGTGCTTAAGAAGATCAAAGGAGGCTTTTGGTGGAGTTCCTTGAGTTCCGTTTTAAAGAAATAAAAGAAGACTAAAATCTGCCACAAGTATTCAAAACGAAAGAAACAATATTATGAGGACACCAGGCAAGAAAAATCAGGGCATTTTCCAAGAAGTCTAGATAGCTGCTTTCCTGTACAATAGAAAATGGCTGGAGTAGAACAGTAGGTAACGAGGCAGAGAGGTAGGAATGGTCAAGCTGTCTTCTCAAAGCCTCCAGGCAAGGCTTTCTTAACCTAACTTGAAAAAACTCATTTTTAAGTGTTGGTTGTTGTCATTGCCATAGTATTCTTTTTAGACAGAATATACATTGAAAAGGCTCAGGTAGAACTATAGATTGTTCAGTCAGATGTTTTTAGGAAAAAGGCACATCACAGAAGCTCTTGGAGCACAGGAACACGTACATGTTCAGGCAAGAGACTGTGCGGAGTTAAAGGAACTAGAATGCTGCCCCTCTTTGCCTCTCTGAGTACATACATACTGGCTCCCCAGGGTTGGGACAGAACCTGAGCCTCGAGTTTGCCATCCCTCCCTACAGGTACAGTCAGCTACCATCCATATTACATTCTCTCATTAATTCCATTCAAACAAGTATTTACTGAATTCCTACCATATACGAGTCCCTGTTTTAGGTGCTGTAACACAATAGTGAACAAGAACATGCATTCTAATGGGAAGAGACAAAACCATATAGATATAAGCAAGAATTACAGAGGATGAGGGGTACTCAGATAAGAAAAAAAAAAGCAGCAAAGGAGGCTAAGACATATCAGAGTGCATCGAAGAAAGGACATATTTTACATGTCCAGAAAAGGCCTCTTGAGTTAACGTTAAGAGAGAAGTAAAAGAATAAACCTGAAGCTCTGTGGAGCATGAGCACTATGCTAGTTTGTTAGAGAATCATTTAGGAAGTCAGTGTGGTCCAGAGGATTGGTAGAAAGAGACACTGAGGAGCTGAGATAAGGAAGTAGCAGGACCAATGCAGGAAAGGCCTCAGAAGAAGTCACCATGCTACCCATTTACCTAGACTGCATTTGTAGCATAATTGACATAATTATTAACAGTACCCCCTCTCTCTCCCAACATAATCACACTTTGGATAATAAACCATATGATCATCCCATTTATAGGTGATTTTATGGGGCTTCGGCTTTCACTCTAAGATGGGAAGCCCTTAGAGGAATTTAGGCAGAGGGGTGGCATGATCTAACTTACACTTAAAAGCACAACTCCAGCTTCCAGGTTGATAGATGCAAGGATGAGTCAAAGGAGACCAGTGGAGAGACTATTTGAAATAGTGCAGGCAAAAGAAGAGGGTAATATGGACCAAGGTATTAGTGGGTAAAGACAGCAAGAAGTAGCAGATTCTTGTTATATTTTTTCAGTTGACCAGAGAGGATTTGCTGATGGATTTGAACTTAGGTTTTGAAATAATAAGAGGGACTTACCTGTGATCTAATTGTCTGTACGTACGCTTGGAGCTTTCATCTGGCTTCAACGTTTTTTCCTAAGGAAAATGGTCATTTTTTTTTGTTTTCAAGTAATTTCAAACTCCTAAAAAATGAAAGGCTTGTACAAAAAAAAATCTAAATACTTATACTCCAAGAATGTCTACAGGGTTTTGTACCTGAGTATCTGGAAATTCTGTATTAATTTCTCTCGTAGAAGTGGATAGTTCTAGGCTGGCACCGCGGCTCACTAGGCTAATCCTCCGCCTAGCGGCGCCGGCACACTGGGTTCTAGTCCCAGTCGGGGCGCCGGATTCTGTCCCAGTTGCCCCTCTTCCAGGCCAGCCCTCTGCTGTGGCCAGGGAGTGCAGTGGAGGATGGCCCAAGTGCTTGGGCCCCTGCACCCATGGGAGACCAGGAAAAGCACCTGGCTCCTGGCTCCTGCCATCGGATCAGCGCGGTGCGCCGGCCGCAGCGCGCTGGCCGCGGCGGCCATTGGAGGGTGAACCAACGGCAAAAGGAAGACCTTTCTCTCTGTCTCTCTCTCTCACTGTCCACTCTGCCTGTCAAAAAAAAAAAAAAAAAAAGAAGTGGATAGTTCTTGGGGCTGGCATTAGGTGCAGTGTGTTAAGCTCTTGCTTACAATGCTGGCAACCCATATTGGAGTGGCAGTTCAATTTCCCCATCCAGCTCTCTGCAATAATTTTTGTGCTGAGCACAAATCTAGATGGTGAGAATATAGCTGGAAAAAAGAAAAAGAAGATTACTATTTAATGTTGTTACACAAAGCTTGGGAAAGAGAGAAAAGAAACTTGTTGGTTTATGAATTTATCAAAATCCATTAATATACCACCCACTATCTCGGGTTTTTCTATTATAGTTCTCTATGCTCAAGCTAAATGGGTTTATAATCTACATAAGGGTAGCCAATCACCACCCATTATCTGGGAATCTGTAAATATGTTCTTTTCATCTTAAGGGGCACTCCACTTGAAATTGGTTTTGTTCCAGTTTTGCTCATGCTAATTAACAAATTTATATGTTTCAGAACTCGACTTCTGGCAATAACTAAGAAGGGGACACAGACATTAGCGGTGACTGAGACTGCTCCAGCTCACAAAACAAATTCATTAGATGAGACAGACTGAGACTTCCAGTCCCAGGACAGGCAGGGCCTTCGCTACGCCCCTCATTAGCAGGAAGCAGCTATAGAAGATATAATTCTACGCTCTTCAAGATCCCTTAAGATAAAGGGAAGGAGTCTCTGAATGGGGAATGTTGTAGGCAGGCATATAGGATAAAATTGATCAGGTTTGTAAGCCTTTCCCTATGCCCCTGCATGACTGCATGCCTCTACCTGTCCACACCTGTGTGCCCACTGACCAATCAGATTAATTAACCACTCCCCTCTGGAAGTGGATTAAAGGCCTGGAACATGATGGGCTCAGCCCTTTTTTTGGCCTTTTGCCATTGTGGGCCTGTGCTGCCTTGCACCTCCAGGGCACATGGCCTTTGGGCCACCCGCCCCATGCTTCCTGGCCTGCATGCTCCTACACGAGGCTGACTCCTGGTACTCAGTATGAGTCCAGATTTCCCTCTCTCTCAGATAGGACCCTCATTCTCCTATGCATTTCTCCCACTGAATAAAAAGATTAAAAACTTAAAAAAACATTAATAATATTTTAACATTGTCAGTGTAACATCTAACACAGTAAATATTAATAAACACAACCTCCATAAAGAAAAACTCCTTGGGGCCCTCAGTAATTGTAAAGAGTGCAGGGAGTGCCTGAAAGCAAAAAGTTTGAGAAGGATTGGTATAGAAAGAAGATGTTATGGAATCTGGCACTGGATATCTACTTGTCCCCCTATTTTATTATTCTTAGGTGGAATTAGCTCTCAATCTCCACCTCCCCTTCCCCCTCTCCCTCTCCCCCTTCCCCTCCACTTCTCCCTCTCCCCCCTCCTCTTTCCCCCACTTCTCCCTCTCCCTCTCCCTTATCCCCTTCACCTCTCTCTCTCCCTCTCCCTTACCCCCTTCACCTCTCTCTCTCCCACCACCTCTCCTTCTCCTTCCACCTCTCCCTCTCCCTCTCCCTCTCCCTCTCCCTCTCCCTCTCCCTCTCCCTCTCCCTCTCCCACCAAGTGCCAAGTATTTCTTTTTCTGCTTTACAACTTTCCCACTAGCTGGGTACTCTACCTGCAGAGCTCCACCTGCAGAACTCATACTGCGATGAGCTCCTTATCGCTAAAGCATCAATGCAAGAGTCACCATCTTACATGTCCCTTTGACTGCTAAATTCAGGTATCACCTCTCTTTCCATGTATGGCTGTCTATTACATTTCTAAATTATATCATATCGTATCGATAAAGGCTATCTGGAATAAACACAATTCTTATATGTCTTCCTTGAATTACGTTGTAAACACCATTGCATAATAACCTTGTTTGTCTGGCTTTCAATTGTATTTCCAGCACACAAATTAGCACTCAGCACAGAAACAAGGCTGATGATATATGATTATATGTTGAATGAAAGTAAGAGTTTTCATTCTTCAAGCCTTTGTCCCTTGTCTTTATAATAGGACATCCTCTACTCACACCTGCATTTCCTCAATACTCACCTTAGCTGGCTTTCCTAATTCACCACTTTTACCACATCACAGTTCTGTACCAGCATGTAATGGCACCATATTTATTATTATAACAAATTCTCGGACTGTTTGGTACATGCAAACTTCTTATTCAACTATAATTCTTCTCGCTCTTAACCCATGCCCTTTTCTCTTGTAGGTCATCCTCTTCAGTCTCCTCCAAACTGCCATGCTCATTACCATCACTATACTTCAGTCACATGGTATTCTTTCCCAAGATTACTCTTCACTTGCTCAAATTGTACTGAACCTTGAAAGCCTAACTCATGTCATGCCTTCTTTTGGGCTACTTAGAATACTCCAAGCACTATTGATGTCCTTTTATTCTGTACCATACAACTTAGCACAAGTGTTGAAATTCACGTTCATTTCATTTACTAAAATTTATCTATAATACAAGGTTGAGGAAAAAAATGAGTCTAAGAGGAAAGGAAACCTCTAATTGATTAGTGATGTCTGCCAGTAGGCTTAGTGGGATGCAAATGGACTTATTTATCAATTACTAATGAGCTCCTGGGAATTGGTCCATATAATTTCATGTGTATGTGGCTAATATATTCTGATGATCCAGTCTTAGTAAGGTGATTTGGAATGGCTTGAATTCTGAAGTAAGGAAAAATTATTATTCCTCAAATTCCCTCACAACTTTAAGCCACAGCCCAGGAAAAACCACCAACCTAACTTTATCTGTGTTTCAAATCCCTTATTTTTGACAAAGGGAGAAATAATTCTAATAACCTGGTGTGGTTGTTTCACTTTACTCAGAAGCATTGCAAATGGAAAAATAGTAATTCCAGCTCAACTAGGAATTTTATGTGTCCCTTTGACTCCACAACAAACATCCCATTTTATGCATTTATGACCCAAATTCTCACCTAAGTAGTACACTTCCTGAGGCTGCAGTGTATCTGTGTACCTCACTACCTCACCTGCAACACAATATACTATGTACCCAGGATAGAACTGAGGTCAAACTAGATGGTTGGGATGGTTTGGATGTAAAAGGGAAGCACTGTGCTTCATTGTGATTGGAAAGCTTATGGAGCACTCTCTCACAAGGGAGCACAATGATTCTAGGATATTCCACTAGCCATAATTAATTCTACCTGTCATGTTTACAAGAATCCCTCCATGCCCCCAACATACACACACTTTAAATGGGATTTTATCTAGATCTCTAATAGCAACAATCACCTAAGTACACAGATTTTGTTATAGTAAAAAGACAGAAAAATAAATATGTGTCAAGTGACAAAATGTCAATAAAGCTCTATATGTCATCACCAGGTACATCAGTTCTCTGTTAACTTGAAAAGTTCTTCCTTTTTTTTTCTTTCTTCTCTCTTTTTCTACATCTGGAAAATAATGTAACATTCTGGTTTAACTCCCAGAATATGGCTTCAGAATCGTGGGCACTCACTTATCCTCTCCAGATTCTAGCTCCTTCCTCTGTAAATGAAGGGAACAGAGGGAGGGATGTATTTACTGTTTCTCCCATCTGTGCAGTCTTTGATCTATCATCTAAATTGATATCTTAAGTATTGAATCTGCAAAATGAAATTATTTAATGAATATTTAATACAGAAAGTGTTCTGTGTTTAAAGATGCACTTGGGTTCTAAACATTTGGAGTGAGCATTTGGTAATTGTAAACCATGTACTTTAATCAGACTACCTGCTTACACTTTTAGAAAATAGTTTATAATTGCAGAAATGGGTAGATTCGATTTGATCACAATTCCAACTTCAACTCTATATTTTTTACCACTGCCAATTTCCTTTTTACAATTTTACCATCTCCCTATTCTAAATGCAATTTTCAAAACCAGTAAAGTCTGAACTGCCACTGCAGTTGGAGATTTTCTTTATCAAATGATTCAACCTGAAATGTCCCTTCTAAGTCCTTCGCTTGCTCATGTCATTATCTCTACTTTCTGCCTCTGCCTCCCTCAAGCGCTCTTCATCAAACCAGACTGCATGGCTAGGCTGTTCTTTTTCCAAATGTTTCTCCACCTGATATCCTTTCTGGGGCTCTCAGGATAGATGATTTCTCCCTGTTATAATGGGCTATCTCCCTTAATGAAGTAAATCTGGGATTTTCCAGTTTTCTATTCACAAAGACAAGATAATGGTATTATACTTTTTTCAATGTGTCGTATCTTTTTCCTCTTGCAGTTTCCCTGCATCAAACAAAATTTACCCAACTGTTGGCATAGCTAAATTCTTATCTCTCACATTTCCACCCACATATTACTATCTCCATGGGGCCTTTGCTGATCCCCACCTCTCCAACAACTGTTGTTCTCCATTATCTCCTTACATATTTCCCAAAATAACATTAAAAGTGACATAATGTTTGAAGTTATTTTTCAGTCTCTATAATCTATTCTAGAATATAAATGTACCAGGTCAGGTTTATCTGATTCATCAGTTCATTAGTATCCTGAGAATCCAGAGCTATATTTGGCATAAGCAGCTTCTCAATAAATATTATTTGAATGACTTAATGGAAGGTGGAAAGGAAAGAAAAGGAAAGAGGTAGAGACTGAGTGGGCCTGAATCTTAGAGTGTGACTTCCCACTGAGTTCTCTGGCTCGATCACTACTGCTACCCCCACCCTGATGCCTGTAGTAGTGGGAGGCAGGATGGTACTGTGTGTGTGAAAAGACCTAGGTTTAAATTTATATTCTGCCATCTTCTAACTCTAAGATTTAAGCAAGTTACCTAGCCTAGCTAAACCTGATTCTTTTTTTTTCTTTATGTAGAAATATTTTTCAGGGTGACTTTAAGGATAAAGTGAGATCATGTCTTAAAAATGACATGATGGTTGCTCAGTAAATATTAATTGCTTTCCATTTCCACTCTCTCCAGCGCCCACCTCAAGTGTGCCAGCGTTCCTTTAACACTTTGGCTCAAGTGTGGACAAAAACATCTTCTCTTGTTTCTCCTTAGCACATCTGAGACAGACTGGCACTTGACTAATTGCTAAGGGAAAAACAAAAGGTAATTAAATATAGAAAGCAGTAGCAGTATAAAAGCAGTATGGCTTCCTCAGAAAAAGGTTTATTTTACATTGTGGCCACTTGTTCTTCAGACTCAAAGATTGTACTGTACACTGAATGGAATCCTAAGGGGAGAGCTCTTCCATAGACAAAACCAATTTCTTTGATTTATCTGTTCATTCACTTAGTAAATATTGGATATGTTCTAAAGTTCAGGAAATTAGTACAGACCCCCAGCCTGTGGGTCACATGGTCTGTTAGACAAAATGAAAGGCCTTAGCCCAGAGAGAGAAATAAACAAAAAGAAACTAATAGGAAAGGGTAGAACCACAGTCCTCAAGGTAGAAAGGTAAATTTGCCAGATTTTATGTGCAAGGAGTGGAGAATGGGGGAGGGGTCTATATGCCCTATCAAATTGGAAAAATCTCTCTAATTGAAGTATTTTTGTTTTTAAAAGATTAAATTGGGATATTTGAATATTCTGACAAAGTCAATACAAGGTGCAAGTCAAATAATTAAATACAGAATATGCCTTGTGTATTCCTGGCAAACCTATCCAAAGGAGAAGAGCCCAAAGTTAAAAGCTAAGGTCTACTCTTAACATCGAATTTGAGAGGAGATTCAATCCAGGGAAGAGACTCTAATCATATCTTGGTATCCATAAGCAAAGACAGAAGAGAGAGATTGAAAAGAGGAGGAAGAGAGGGGGTTGAGAACAGTTAAGTTTGGGAGGCTCTAGCTCCCAGACTTGGAGCTAACAGAACCAAAACAGAATGTCAGTGGACTGGGAAGACAAAGGGGTCATAGGGCAGCTCAGTTACTCTCTGTAAAGGGGTCATTCAAAACATTGCAGGCAGGCACCAAGCCACAGAAACAGGTGCAGTCTTAGAAGCCATCGGCCATGCCTCTACTCATTAGTTGCTGGACTGTGGAGCACTTCAAAAGGTCTAGAGAGTATCTAGGTATCTAAGGTAGCCAGAGTGCCCATGCATGGGATCCTTCAGGAATCTTAGGGTGGAAATATTTACTCTTAGAAAAATATTTACATATTTTAACAATCAGTAAAATTATTTTCCTGTGTACCAGAGAATATCAGATTTTCTCCCAATCAGTTCTCAAAAGGGGCAAAAAAGATAATGCTCCAGAACTTATTCTGAGCCCTGCTAGTTGTAGTTTGGTCCTTCTGAACATGATATATCTGAGGAGGGTGGCTGAACTGCCTTTGTGACAGGAAGTAGAGAAGAGGCTGTGACAGACTAAAAAAACATGCTTTAAACCTCTCCCATTTCCCTTACTTCTATCTTTCCACTCAGCCTGGAGCAAATCAATGTCATCCTTCCTGGACCAGAATATCCAATGGAAAAAAAGACCGAGATAAGTAAACACAGCTATCATAGTACGTATAATGTGGAAAATTATACCACACTTGAAAAATTTAAGTAATACTGGAGGACTATTTTTTAATACAAAAAGCATTGAGTTTTAGCACCTACCACATGATGGACATTGTGCTTTTGCCACTGCAAAATAACTAAAATACAAACAAATGCTACCTTTCAGTTGTTGAATGCTGTCTTTGTATAATTCTATGCCCTGGACACACATGAACTTATTTAACCTTCAAAACTTCTCTGCAAGGGGACATTATTATGCCCATTTTATAGACGAGCTATCTGAGATTTAAACTGTTTAAGTTTCTTAACCAAAAATGCACTGTTGATGAGTGACAGAGCCAGGACATGAATATAGGCCCATCTGACTCCCCAAAATCCTTTCTTAATGGAACCTAAAAAAGGAGGAAAATCCATAAACAGTAGAGTGTTGGGGGAGGAAGGCTCCAACACAGGGACATGTGAAGGGTATAGGAGCCTAGGGTGAGAGTACCTGCTCCAGTCAGGGAGTACAAAGAATAGCTTTTCAACACACACCAAAGAAGGTTATATTTCATTTGGACCCAACTCTCAAATGATTCTCAAATCATTCAAAATAACAAAGTCAGCAATTATAGTCACTGATTAATTTCCTTAAATATACCAAAAGCAAAGCACTTAAAAAGTGATTACAGCATTGGAGAATTGCAACAAATTGCCAACAAGACAGGGTAATAGGAAAAATGTAAATATCAGTGAGCAGCTTAAAAGTGTAATGGGGTGCATTGTGATTCTCCCAATTATAATCATATATTCTGTCAGTATGATCGATGCTGCAGAATATAATTCTGCTGAAATACTATCTGTCTTGTCAAAAAGACAAGTTGTAGCTGCCATCAGGTAGCTGGGTCTGCCTGGCACCCTAACAGAAGGGGAATAGATGTTAATTCTCAGGAATGTTAAGAATAGCACAAGCTACTGAGAAATAAATAGCTCCTAAGTAAAGGGCTCAACTTAACAGTGTTGCTCTTAGAATCTGACTGTTATCTCATATACTAGAAGAAGGTAGCCTGAAACATTGATGATGGAGCTGTCTGATTATTGTCAACAATTGCCCAGTTAAGATGAAGAAGAGTGGAGCAGAACAAGTACCAGGCTGGAACTCAGAGGTTGTACCTCTCATCCCAGTTCTCATATGAGGCAGTAGTATGATCTTGAGCAATTTCCTTAACCTCTTTGGATCTGTTCTCCTAAAAAGGAATCCAGTTCCAGGACTTCGTCATATTTAACACTCTCCATCTCAAAACCCTGAGCTATTCAGTAAGCCAAAACCAGGATTAGCATTAAAAGAGCCATTCACCACAGGACCTGACTCTAAGTGGCTGTCCTTTTTGCTTCTCTAGGAAGTTGGGTGTCTAATATTTAACTTCTTTGTTGGACTTGTCCTTTCTAGTAGAGCTTCTCTAATGTGTAGCCACACATTATATAATTATAAAATTATAACTGCAGATCCAGGAAAATATACCTGAGCAGACATCTACTCTCAGTTGAAGAAACCAACTTTGCTGATTACTCTCAGAGACTGGCCAACATTTGTCTATTGCAAGGCTTTGCAAAATAGCACTCTGCATCCTTTGCTGAGTTCCAAAAATTTTGAAAAATAGAACCAATGGTAAATCATAAACAATTGCACATTTCCTCATTATCCTAAATAAAAGCTAAGATGCAGGACACATACCATGGTGTGATGAACCATTTTGGCTTGTTAACTCCTTTCCATGATGGGCCCGCTAAGGCCGGCCTTCCCCTAAAAAGGGAGAAGGGGGGCCAGCGCTGTGGCATAGCTGGTAAAGTTGCCGCCTGCAGTGCTGGAATCCTATATGGGTGCTGGTTTGAGTCCTGGCTGCTCCACTTCCAATCCAGCTCTCTGCTATGACCTAGGAAAGCAGTAGAAGATGGCCGAAGTCCTTGGGCCCCTGCACCTGCGCGGGAGACCCGGAAGAAGCTCCTGGCTCCTGGCTTTAGATCAGCACAGCTCCGGCCATTGTGGTCAACTGAGGTGTGAACCAGTGGATGGAAGACCTCTCTTTCTCCCCCCCGCCCCCGCCTCTCCTTCTCTGTGTAACTCAGACTTTCAGGGAGAAGGACAGTAGAGGAAAGCCAAGCCAAGCAGATCCAATTTTTTTTTTTTTTTTTTTTTGGTTTACAATCACTCCAGGATGGAGTAATAAAGATTTCAAGGCTCTAAGATTGCACCTACAGAAAATCCCTTCTATAGAAACCAGAAGTGGGAAAAATGTACTTTCATCATTTGCAAAAGATATGAATAAACAAGCAAGTTAAAAAACAGTCATAGTTATACTAGGGAGAAAGAGTCCTGACAATGGAAGCTCTCAGACGGCCAACTATGCAAAAGCAGGTAAGACTGTAAAATCTTTTCAGACACTACAGATTTCTAAATGCATGCCCTTTACATTCAAAGCAAAGGGAGTCCTTGGGTAAAGCTTGACTATTCTGAGGATCAGACTGGAGGCTAGTTTGCTGTGGCTAGCAGAATTGAGGGAGTCATGTTATGGGAAACTGTATCCTCTGGGATGATCACTCAGCTAAAAAATTACTTGACCAAACACAAGCAGGGTGGCAGCTCCCACAGCTCAGTAGGGGGCCAGCTCCTAATTAAATAGCTCTCCGGAGAAGTGCTTCCAGCAGTACTTCTGAGCTGTCAGTTGATCAGGTCTCAGTTAAACTGATAAAGCCTTCAGGGTTAACTATCTAGGAGATATTGCTCTACAATTATAAATGCAGAAAAGTGTTTATTATCAGCTTTCTCTTGCTTTGGTTTAACTATTTAAGCACATGTAAGTCAAGGGCTACCTTCCTCCATCCTCAAAAAACTATGTAAAACTGGTAAACATTTGACAAAAGTCAGATCTATTTCCAATGGGCAGGAGAATCATATGAAAAGTGTACTTATTTCTCAATTTTATTAAGGGGGAGCACAATAAATTTGATCAATGAACATTTAACTTGGAACAGAGAAATATACTATGTACTGAATTTTAATCACAAGTCGAGTTCAAGCTAAGTGCTCTGTGAACATTATCTCATTTAATCTTTATAACTTCATTGCAATGTAAGCATTATTATGCCCATTTTCAGGTGACAAACCAAGCCAGTCCATAAGAGAAAAAGACGACTCAAAATTCAGGTCTATTATTGTTATGGGTTGAATTTTCAATCCCTGTAAAGTCATGTGCTAAAATTCTAACCTCCAGAACTTCAGAATGGAAATAATTAATGAAGATAAGATTAAGTCCTACTCGAGTAGTGTGGTCCCTATATGGTGTCCTTATGTAAAGGGGAGACTTCAAGGCATGCTCACAGGGACGACATATGCAGATGAAAGCCGAAGTTGAGGTGATAGTTCTACAAGACAAGGAGTGCCAAAGATGGTTCAAAAACTAGCAGAAGCTCTAAGAGAGGCATGAAATAAACTCTTCCTCATAGCCTTGGGGGAACCAACCCTGCTGACATTTTGATTTCAGTCTTCTGGCTTCCACACTATGAGACAACAAATTTCTGTTGGTTAAATCATCCAGTTTGAAAAATGATC